GCAATCCTTACAATCGTCAGTATGTATTTGTGGAATTGTCTTAGCGTGAGTAGTACGTTTTTTAAAGAACAGTTTGTATGCGTCCTTTACTCTGAAATCACTGACTTTGTTTGTGCCTTATAGATTATCGAAAAATTCAAGGAAGGCCCACCAGAACTTGTGGCCGACGTAGCGTTTCAATTAATCTTGAATGCTTCTACCATTCTCCGACATACAGGGTGGACTTTACTAGAAGATTTGATACGGTACTCTGCTACTCTTCTTTCTATAGATGGATCAAAGAACGGCTCATTCAGCTATAAATGGAACACTATAGTACCGGAGTGTCGCGTAGAACTTCGCAATCGCGTCTTTCAAGCTATCGAAACGTCGGTATTTGAAGTATGTCGACTTCCTATCCAAAATAAGAGGGATTTGTATGCTTTACCTTAAGGATACTGTTGAGCCATGTGCTAGGTGTGTCGTAGCAATGATGGAACATGAATGGCCGCAGAATTGGCCAGAGCTAAACTGCGAGCTGCAGCAAATGTCAAAGCAAGGTGCGAGCTGTTATTTCTTCCTTTCATTTGACAACTCAGTACTAATGCTTGCGAACGTATAGAATAATGACCAGTCAACTTTTCTACACAATTTTAGGATCTTTACCGTGCGCCATTGTTTTCGCCATTCTTCGACGGGTTGTTGAAGACGTTGCTACTTTAGCTTCAGTTGCTAATCTGAGGCGACGTAAGGATATGCATAGTGCAATTGTTAGTTGTCTTTTCACCAAATGCTTGTATCCTATCTTTGATTGAATTGGGCATTATGCTAGATGCTATTCTAGTGTGACAGCGCGAGCGAGTTCATTTCTGTTGCCCTCGACCTGCTCAGTTTATGTCCACTAGGTGGGACGTCTAATTTGCTCTTTGACGTTTGTTACATGCTTTTAGTACCATTATGTAAAGTAACACTGTTGCAGACTCTATGGGTACTTTGGCAGCGAAGAATATTTTTGGTTGGCTGACAGAATTGTGCAGCTGCATGACGTCGTTATCTCTTGAACAACATCTGATCAGTATAGTCGATACCGTTGTTCGTTATCTGAACACTGCTGAACGGAACATTTATGAACAAGCTGCGCAATGTTTAGTTGCAATTGCTGTGCGTAAGAAGTGGGTGTTCTGAAAGGCGTTGAAATGTATCTTCTTTCTTCGCCATAAAGTAATTAGCGGTTCACTTGATCTTGGTCTTTGCAGGGACAGACACGACCAGTCAGTCATAGTCTCCGCTTTTTTTCGGGCTGAAGTGTTCTCTGTCATCCTCACAACGACGAGGTAGACTAATCTACTTTGTTTTGTCATCTTAGCTGTGCAGCTTCTGACCTGATCTGTTTTTAGCTTCGCAGCTAATGGGTCTCAGTTCAGCGAACAGCACTATAGATACCTGAAATCCTTATGTGAATTGTTAATTACTTTGGGAAGTAAGTTTAAATGAGTCAAAGATTGCTGTGATCTCATGTGTTTTTCATAGATTTCCTTTCAAAAGCATGGACTGAGAGAACACCCCCACCAAATTTTGAGACGTTTTTATCTGCCATAGTCGCCTTTTTCAATCACGATTCTTTGGTATGATTATCCTCTCGTTTTCCCTTTTCTACTTCTCTCTCATCAAGGAGTTTTTGAGATGCTGAAATATGAAGCATGCGACGTGCTAGTGGGTCTTTCGACTCATAAAAATTTTCAAGAAGATCCTAATTTTATGCAAGCAATTCGTGGAGTTCTCTCCAACACCTTGAAGGCAATCATGAAGGTAAGATCAGGTTGCTCATACTTTGGACCCTTTTCAATCGCGATTGTTTAGAACGGCTATCCGTCGCAGAACCCGCCGAATGTATCGGCACGATACTCTCAGATGGATTTCGATGATGATCTCGATTGGCACAATCTGTTCATAAGTCGGCTTACTTTTCTGATGGTTTTCCCTTTTCATGTTATGCTTTACAACGTTTATCTCGCAGGATTTCGTTCACGTGTTCAACTTCTCATCTCGGAGAATATGGCATTTCATTTTGGTCACTTACTGACTGTTTACGAGGAGACTGTCTTAAGGAAAGTTATTCTAGAACCTCAATCAAGTACGTAGATGTTCATGCAATTATTTCACTTTGCTTCTTGCAACCAATAGGCTTGTTCACAGTTTCTGAGCTTGAATGGGAGGCTATGCAAAGATTTGCAAAAAACCTCATACAGGTTGCTTATGAGAAGGGAATTGCGGAAGTGGTATGCATAATCGTTACTTCTGCCTAGTATCAAAAAATATTATTGATATTACCGTAATCAAAACTCCAGGAGAAGGAACGATTGATCAAGATGCGTGACACATTGGTGAACGCAATGCTTAGTATGAACGAATGTGATACTTTGAGCGAAGTTTGATCATTGTGTCATTTCTTAAAAAGTGATCTCTTGTAGTTGAAAAACAATCTAGATGCTTTCTCTCCACTCTCCTTTTCTGCCCAGCTATGCTGATGACTTTGAGAAGTTAAACACGTATTTCTCACTCTTGAGACGGTGAGTTAACTCTACTGTCTTTGATTCTTTTGAAACGAGTTTTAAGTGGTCTTCTTATGTCTCCGGGCAATAAAACCTTGAATCGGCATGCCGTAAGCCTCATACTTCGAGCTGTTCAAACATTTCCTGATTACTTCAAAGTAAGTAAATTTCACTTTTATACTCCTGTTGTGAAGGATTTTCTAGGAATTTCGGGGACTTCGCTGTAATGAAAGTTTTAGAATCATGTGGCCAGCATTGTGTCGCTTTACAGTGAGGTTAACGAAGTTATATCGAAAATGCAAATGGCGCAATTAATGCAAGTCAGTTCCTTGTTTAATCTGGAATATTTTACAAACTGTTGTGAATTTTTCTGTCACCTCAAATGTGGATTTAGGTTCTTGCTGTTTTATCAAATTCCGTCGAAGACGAATCTATCAAGTTAGAGTTGCTGCGTATGTCTGCCGGTCCTTCTATAGAATTTCTCCATAGCGTTGCATGGTTAGTCAAAGCACTCTTACAGGTTTTGAAAAACTCAACTTGTTTGATTGTTGAGGTCTTTCGAGGAAGTTTCTTTGTTTGTGAAGTTCAACGCCTTCAATGTTGCGCGTCCAGACGCTAATGATCCAGTGACGATGAACAGAATCGAGGTCTAATTCTAGCATCCAGTTCCTTCCGCTACTTATTTTTTTATTTACAATTATGCCTTTTACGCTCAATCAAGCCTTTGTAACGGCTGGATTGAGCGTGAAAAGCATACTTGTCGGTAAAAAACTGTAACTTTCCACTTTTGCTTATTTAGCTTCGTCGCGCTCTTACCTGTATTCAAGGAGTCGTGCAACAGGTTGATAGTTCTAGTCAGTTGGGAACCATGCTCATACCTATTTACCCCTGTTTCTTTAAACTTACGAAGTGAGAACCTATAAGCTATCAAAGTTCCAATCCTCATTGTTGTTCGAATAGCTTCAGTAACTCTTTTCAGATGTTTATTGGAGTTGCATTTGAAAGAGAACAAAGTTCTACTACACCAGTCATTCCGCGAAGGCCTAACGAAGATGGTAGCCTCAGAGAGACAGCAGATATATTGTAGGTTCTTGCAATAATTAGATGTTTTTTTGAACTTTTGTCCTTAGCTCTTATAGCGTTAACATAGCATAGATTTTAAAGGTTTATTGTCGAGCATCTGACTCAAAAGTACAGTTCAGGCTCCGTTGGGGAGAATATTGAAGTGGTTCCCGGTCATGCTGCAGTGATCGATATTGATCCTCTAACGATTGAACGTCAGTATGTCCACGATTTGAACGAGCAAGTGTAAGTATTATAGTTCAAGAAATCTGTGCCATCAATCTGCTGTGATCGCGTGATTGAAGCTTGCATAACCTCCTCAACACTGCTAACACTTCTCACAAACCTTGCAGTTTCACTGCCACTTGTTTAGAGTTACAATAATCTCGGCAGTTTTGAGCAAATTTTCTGGAATCTTTTTCAACCAGCCAGAAGCTCAAGAGCTGTTAAACTGTCTCATTTCAAGTATCGATCATGTTCCTGAGTTTAGGCTACGTCACTGGATTAAAAAGGGATGGTAGGTGCAGAAGCTCCCTTGTTCCATATTCTAAGCTGTCATATTTACTTGCCTAGGAAAGCCGTCATGGGAAATTGCCCTACAAGTCATTGGCCACTAATTAAGGAGTTCTTTGTTTGTATCGTAAACTCAATGCATGCTCGACTGGAGAAAATGTGGGCAGAAATATCGCACATTGATTACGGTGAGCTCATTTTAATTTTTTTGAATTCTGTATTTTTTGAACTTGATCTTTCCAGATTCTGAACCAACC